GATTCTCAACTTCCCTCCCTTTTTGTTCCTGCCCCCCTCGGCCTCCCTTATAGCTGAAGCTCCACAGCTCTTCAACTTTCCGAGCTCTAAAATGGCGGTGACAGGACCGCGGCCAGCTCTTCCCTACTATGCGCTACGCTGTTTTCTCCTTTCTCCAGGCTCCCTCTATTTTCAAGAAAAATTGAAGAAACATGACAGCCTCTCTCTCTCTCTCTCCTCGTCTCCGGCTGCTGCTTCTTTCTTCTGCTCCTTCATTTTCGACCAATCATCAACAGTCTCTGCTTCTGTGAGTTCTTTCGTTTTCCTTTTTCCTTGGATCAAACCAACATCTTGGAACGGCTCAAGACATTTAGCTGAACCTAGATCATCCGACACGCTTGCCCTTGCGGCCTTCCCCAATCGAGCTCCATCAAGAAGCCCTAAAGCATCTGAGCTGGGCTATGAAACTTGGGCTGGCTCTTTTCTGGGCTTTAGGAAAATAGATGATAAATAAGGAAACAGGCCTGGCCCTTTTGTTTTCCTTTTTTTTTTTTTGTTTCTCTTTCTGTTTTTTCTTTTTATTTTTTTTTTTACTTTTCCCGTCATTTTTCTCTCTTTTTTTTTTTTTTTCTTTTTTCAGATATCATAATAATAATAGAACAATGATACTAATAATATGACAATCATAATTTAAATTTTAAATTCTATCTACAACTAGAAAAGATTATATAATAACAAAATTAAATTTCAAAAATTAATATACAAAGCTTACCAACAGGTTCGCTTGCATAAAAAAAAAATATATAATTATTATAATTAACACGAAAAACTTAACATAATAAACAGAAGATGATTCTAAAACTAATACAATATTTAATTGTAAAAAAAAATTCACTCCAAGTCAATTAATAATTTTTAAGAGAAGAAAATGATCGGTCAAAATTTGATGGTGACACATTGAATATATTTTTTTCTCATGTGTTTTGAAAATAAATTAGTGTTTGTAATTTTAAGTAATAATCTCGGTCTCTTATTATTTAAATATGTGTTTTAACTCTTCAAAATAATGTTTGTAAAAATTGAGAAATATTTGGTTGTTCAAAATTCTTTTTGTCTAGAAAGTTCATCTTTTTAATTATTTAAATGTTAGCATGAGAAATAAATTGCATATTTTTAGCAGTAAAAAGTTATTACAGTGATCTTGGGACGTTTCTTGTATCAAAATTTTTTATTTTTTTTGTAAAAAAAAATACATATATATTAATAGTACTGTAAAACAAACAAGTTGTACGTACAACTCGGCAAACAAATGAAAGAAGCAAGTTGATACACGTAGAAAAGGTGTTTTTACATACAATATATTTATATTAATTTGGATTTTTGTTTTATTTTGCTGGGTTTTAAAAATTTTGGAAATACTGATTTAATTTTTAATTCAAACCAAAATTTGGAAGATTAAAAAATCAGATCAAACCATTTTCATAGTTTTCTTTGTTTTCCTATTTGCATCAAACAACTTACTCCCCTAATCAAACCATTATTAGAGAACAAGGTATGCCTCTGCAAACAAACAAAAAAATACTCCCCTAATTGTTTATTAACGTGTATAAAATGATAATTTTATAATTTTATTTTAATTATTTATATTTTCAAACATATAAAATAGTATAATTTTTTGATAGTTAATTGTATGGTTCTCAAAATCTGTCATTCTTTTACACATATATACGTATACAGCAAAATTTATTTATTTAATTATATATATATTTATATAACGGCCCCGGAAATTTAGAATGAAATATGTGTATTAAAAATGCCAAATGTGGAAGCGTAATAAAAATTTTGATTAACATCCCTTACACTAAAACTAAAAATATGCTTAAAATATAAAAGAACAAACTAACTAAAAGATATGCTCGAAAATAAGAACTATAAATATAACTACGGAGTCTTTAAGCGTCCCCTTCGCCGTCTTCCTGCGGAACGGGCTCGGGAACAACGTCTTCCTGATCTGAAATAGTTAAGTAAGGAATGAGCTACACCAGCCCAGTAAAGACATCACGCTATCTCACCGCCACGGAAATAAATGTGGGTAGAAAACACAAAAAGACCAATGGACCATAATTTATAACAAATTCTTTTATCAATAATAAAATCATTTACTGTCCACTTACCTCGGTGAGATCCATAGAACGACATACGAAAGCAATAACATTATCATCATCATGAAATCATATGAACTGTATAACATAATACTTACCACGCCTTTGCATTTCAATCATTACACAACATATTTTCCTCGTTTATCAGCCTACTAGTATCCATGGGGATCCATAGGGGTCCCGCTACCCGTGAACCCTTAACATTTATAACCTGATTCCAGGGCCGTCCCCATACCCCGTCCGGTATGGGCGCCAAAACCATGAACCTCAATACCTCGTCAGGTATGAGGGTGAAACGGGCCGTCCCCATACCCCGTCCGGTATGAGCTCCAAAACACATAAGGTCTCCATACCCCGTCCGATATGAGAGACCATGTTCCCGGTAGGGTTCCCTACGAACCCGATCCATCCACCGTCTCCCAAGATATCAAGTCAGACTGTCCACATTATCCACTTATCAATTCACATAACCTTTTTGACATTTTTCTTGGTTTCAATCATCCAAACACACACAACATGTAAACCAGTAATGGACACCAAACAAGACAACACAATATCGGGTTAAGCATAATACCGACCATAATAAGGAAACCATGATTCATGCATACGGGACCATAATATAATTATATCAGACATCATGTTGCATTTAATACTGGAAATTAAATCAAACAATAACAAAACAACCCAGTATCAGACTCGGCCTCCATTGGCAACCTTAATCAATTATACATCTATAGAGTCACACAGTACAGTTTAATTATTTATTTAGCTTTAATACCGTGATAGGAAATAGGGTGAGGGGTCCTTACTTGTTTCGGGGTCTGAATACGGCTCTACAGTGTGCCTACAGACTGTTCCTAATTTTTCCTGAATTTTTTCCGGGAAACTGAAACGCACTACTGGTACCTGCATATGTCCCAAAAAATTCCAAATTAGACCTAGGGCCCCTTTCGGCCAATATCGCAATTTCGGCACGGCGGGTCCGCCGTGCTCCGGCTTGCGGCGGCGATTCGCCTCGGGTTGGCCGTTTTCGACCGAATTCGGCCACGCTTGCATCGGTCCCTGCGATAGAACAACCCTAGGGCCCTCGGTGGACCGAAAAATCACGAAAAACCGAAACTTACCGGCGGCGGTGCTCTCGGGTGCGGCGGCTCCTCCGGCATGAGTCGCGTTTTGATGTTTGGCTCCGATCAACCTGTAGAGAAAATAACGGTGATCACAGTGGTATAAAATTTGTATCAAACGGAGGTCGGGAAGGGCCTCATCGGAGGCAAAAACCGAGGAGGGGCGCGGCGGCGCCGCTGGGTTTCGCTTGAGTTTTCCGGCCGTTTGGCCTGTGGTTTGGCTCTGGTTTGGCCATAGGCGGACTCAGCGTCGAAAAACGAGCAAGGGGGAGAAAAATTACCTCGATCGGCGGTCGAAAACTTCCCCGATGCGGCGGCGGGTGGCCGCGGCCGGCTCCTCCGGCGTCTGGTTCTTCTTCTCTGGCGAGCATTGGCGGCTAGGGTTTCTTTGGTCAGGTGTGGGTGGGGGTATTTATACCCTTTGCCTTTTAATCTTAACCGTCCATCAAGATTGAATCTGGACCGTTCGATCGCGATTTAATTGGGATTAAATATGGGCCGTTCATCGCGATGCAATCTAGGCTGTCCGTGCCTGATTGAATCTGGGCCGTCCGTGCGCGTGAATCTGGGCCATCCGTGCACGTAAATCTGGGCCGTTCATGCGCACGTTTGATCTGGGTCGTCCGTGAGCGCGGGAACGGATCTGGACCGTCCGATCGCGTGCACGCGGATCGCTCATGTGGCCCATCCCCTGGTCAGCGTGTCCTTGCCACGCGGCGCGTCCTGGTTGGTCGGGGCTGTTGACCGGGCCGCTGACGTGGTGCTAACGTGGCACAACTTTTCTAAATTACGTTTTGACCCCCGGTTTTCGATTTTATTTTCAAAAATACCCCCAGAATCCAAATTTTCACCCCTTTTTTTCAAAATCAATTTCAATTAAATCTAATTAATATTTTTACCCAATTTTATCATTATTATTATTTTTATTTTTATTGAATTAAATTAAATTGAATTAAATAAAAATCCAAATAAATAAATAATAAAAATAAAAATAAATAAATAAAATATTTATTTTTATTTGGCTGTTACAATTTATATATTTTATTTATTATTATTACATAAAATAAGATAGAAATAAAATATAAAATTATATTACTATATCAATTCAAATTAACGTATATTAATACATAAATTTTTTTTAAATATAGTATAACTTTATTATCACCGTACTCTATTATACATTAATAAATTATTCTGAAAATCATCCAAACACATTCTCGGTTGAAGTCTCTATGCATCAGGCCGATCATTCCTATGTATAACTGAAACTGAAAATCATTCTCACATCACCTTGATCTATTATTACCAAATTGTCAATGTAGTTATATCATCGCAATAGATTAAGTGTTGGAGAAACTCATCTGCCCGGATAGCATCAGACTTCTTCCAGTCAATATCAGAGCATTAAAAGTCAAATCTATTTAACCCTGCAACACTGGCATGATCAAATTCTTAGCCTCCTTCAGTTTGCTTAAAGCGTTTGCAGAAACAAAATCCAGAGCTTGACAATAGAATTTGATCATTGTATTCAAGTGAATTAGTACTAATCTCCACTTTACCCTGACCTGACTAAAGCATTTGCATATACAAAAGAAAGGCTTAACACAATAATAAACATTTATACTGCATACATGCTCTGTGAGAAATTATCACAAAAAATAAAAAAGGAAATTTTACATCCAAGGACGGGACATTATCAAATTCATCTTTACAGCAAACTTGTACCCCCCAATAACTTGAAAGAGTTTCTAATCAATGTCAAAACCTGCAAAACCAAATTCTTAATCAGCCACATTCATCACAAGATTTAACAAGAAAGAAAACAATAAAAACAGCAGATACCGGTTGCTTAAAGACGTAGAAACCAAAATCCAACATTTATCATTCAAGTACGTGCATAATAATCTTATAGAGCCTACTGTGAGAAATTATTTAGAAATACTAAATCCAACTAGCACAAAACCCTAAAGATTCAGTTACCTTTTTGGGAACCCCCATGAATCAGCTTTCTATGTCCCTGGAAGATCCTTCACGAACTCTGTATGAATCTGGTGTTATGGAATGCAACCACAGACCTGGAAATACACTCTGGAAAGAACCACATGCGTCAGTTAGCAAATGGATCGAATCGTTGCAAGTTAAAAACCAAGGCACAAGAACAAAAATCAACCGAAAGAGTAAAGTCAAATTACATCCAGTTGTCTCTGCTCATTCTTGGCCCTCTTCTTGGGCCTTGTACATGGCTTCTTCCCCGTCAATGCAAACACATCCTCTGCAATATCGTCCTTAGAAAGTGGAATCGACAAAATTATCTTCTTCTTCTTCTCTGCCAATCTGGAAGTTTGTGAAACAATTTTTGACGGAGTGGATGCAACTCGAAGGAGCGATCGAGCCCAACGAGTTTTCATCCCCTGCAGCGACGGTATAGGGACTTCCGGTGCACTTCCATCGTCGTTCAGCTTCTTTGTGGACGCTTTTCTTGTCCTTAAATTCCAGATTCTTGGCTTCGATTGTTCAGCTTGATCAGGAACAAGCGATACAGAGGCTTGAGTAGCTGCGACATCCTCAGGGTTGCTCCTCCCATAGCGAATCTTTAATCGAATCTTGCCTCGATCACTCGATGACGCGGACTTGTCAAGTGATTTAGGGATCGAAAAATGCGATGGAGAAGAAGAAGAAGAAGATGGGGGGGAAGCAGGCGTGGAGAGAGAATCAGCGATCCTGACATTTACAGAGAGTTCGGCATTATCGGACGTAGATTGGGAAACTGTGGAGTTGCTGTGGTGGTTTGTTGAGGTCCACCGAAAGCGTGGTAATGAAAAAGAATGGGGAGTGTCGGATTTGAAAGAAGCAGTTGACGCCATTGTCGCTTCTTTCTTCTATCTGTTGCAAGTAAGGTGGAGTGGTTGAGATGTGAAATAAAAGGGGTTGATTGACGATGTAGGATTTTGCTCTGAATTGATCAAACACGGTTTCTTGGAGAAGACGATGAACTGAAACGCTCCTTTACCTTTTTTACATACATATATATACATTACATAATACAAGTATTCAAAAACAGGAATTCGAATTTGAGTAGTAAAAGCCGTTAACGAGACGAGCGCGTGTGGCATACCGATGCTTACGTCATCCTCACTCGCTTCAACTTCCGGAGCCGCCAATGAAATAAAAAACATTCGGATATAAATTGTCATATTTTATTTTAATTTTTAATTTATCAAAAACCCAAGTTAAGCTTTTTAAGGGATTTTGAGAGCGCATACTAAAAGGGTAAGAAAAAATCTTCTTTCTTAAAACACCAAACAATAGTTATATCCAAAAAGGATCACATGAAATCCATGGATAAAGAATAGGAAAATCTCACCAAATCCAAATCCTCTACCTTAAAATTCAAAAGGCAACTTCTTAATTAAGGCTCTTCCCACCTGGACCTGCCCATATTTTTCCCCAGCAGCATACACCATATATGCACACATATACCATAATAACTCAAAACAAATGAATTGGCTGTTCAACCAAAACTTCCACAAATTACTCCCATCCCAATCATATCTCATCCACCGTATTCATCATTTACTAATCCAACCGACAACAGATGCCAGTTCTCTGCAACCATCATTCTCTTCTCTGCCTTCGGTCCTTTTCTCAACCTTCATCCGAATACAATCATTCAGTAAGAGGTTTTGGCTTCTGCTTCCCCTAACAAATCCACAAACCAATTGAAGTAAATTGCACAGAACCAGGGTTGTTTGCTTGCTTACCTCACTCTTCACTACCATCAAACCAGCATACGCCCACGAGGAATTAGTACCATCTCACTTGACTCAGGCTGGGAAAGATCAAGTTTTCCATGTCGACAAGCATTTCTCACCATACCAAACCGTCCAATATAAACCCCAATCCTTTCTATTATAACTGCTCTGCATACAACAAAACGAGCCAGTTATGAAGCAAATTGAAGTGGAACTACTTCAGACAAGATACTTCACTAACACAGAACAACAAACGAGATCAGCATTACCAATAAACAAAAATAGGATGAAAATATAGCTTCCACCATGTATCCTCGATCATAAAATGGACAGTTTAGAAAACTGCAGGATCAAAGGTTCTTTTACTGCAAGTACTTCAATTTATTTCAACCCATTGGACAAGAAAATAGTGCCCTGCAAAGTAAAGGAGCTGAAGGCTCAAAATCAAAATCAAAATAAAATAACCATAATTAACCAACCATTTTGATCAAGGAACAGAAAAGGATTACATTATCTATGTTGGTATACGTACATATATATATATATATAGAGAGAGAGAGAGAGAGAGAAAGAGAGGGAAAGAGAGGGAAAGATGAAGATCACCCATCCTCCTCATACACAATTTAACATCCTAAGGACCATTCCAAATAAAGCTGTTACTACCTTACCACAGATTAGCACCATCTTTGGACAGCTGTCAATATCATCATATCAACCTCCATGGCAACGAGGTTATCCCCCAAAGAACAGCTCAGATTTCACATATCCCTGCTCTTCTCAGTTTTTACAAGTAACTGATGTTGTGTGCCTCCAGTTGAATGTATTAGAGAAGTGCTGAGCTAGAAAGAAACAAGCATATTAGCCAGGTAATCAATGAAACGTAACAAAGGTATTTTAGCAATAACATTGAACATTGAATGGGTACAAGCTAATATTATGACTAATCACTGAGAAAAATATAAGAATTCAATGCATAAAAAAATTTAAAAAAGCCCAAGAAAGGCCAAAAAAGTTGTCTCTATCTATAAATGCACTAAAAGAGCAACTATCCTCGTGCATTCGAGGTGTTATACCTCATATTACCAAATTCGCAATATTTCCAAATATGACAAATTTCTTCATCTCCTTTGGTAAATGCAAGCAAGGAAAAAATAATCCTATTGTTCATAAAATTTGTCTTGAAAGGAACATCAAGAAATCTGGAAGTGTTTGCTTCTCTCAGTAAACCTGAAAGTAAGCATGAGCATCATCTTTCGACAGCTGTCAATATCATCATATTAACCTCCATTGCAACAAGGTTATCCCCCATAGAACAGCTCAGCTTTCTCATATTCTTGCTCTTCTCACTTTTTACAAGTAACTGATGTTGTGTACCTCCAGCTGAATGTGCTCAATTAGAGAAGTGCTGGGCTAGAAGAAATAAGCATATTAGCCAGGTAATCAATGAAACTTAATAAAGGTATAGTAGCAATAACATTGAACATTGAATGGATACAAGCTAAGTTATGACAAACCACTACGCAAAATGTAAGAATTCAATGCATAAAAATAATTAAAAGATGCCCTATAAAGGACAAAAAAGTTTCATCTCTATCCATATATGCGCTAAAAGAGCAACTATCCTCGTGCATTTGAGATGTTATACCTCTCATTTCCAAATATGACAAATTTCTTCATCTCCTTTTGGTAAGTGCAAGCAAGGAAAAAATAATTCTATTGTTTATAAAATTTGTCTTGAAAGGAACATCAAGAAATCTGGAAGTGTTTGCTTCTCTCAGTTTGAACCTTAAAGCAAGCATGAGCATCATCTTCGGACAGCTGTCAATATCATCATATCAACCTCCATTGCAACCAGGTTATCCCCCAAAGAACAGCTCAGATTTCTCATATTCTCGCTCTTCTCAGTTTTTACAAGTAACTGATGTTGTGTACCTCCAGCTGAATGTGCTCAATTAGAGAAGTGCTGGGCTAGAAAGAAATAAGCATATTAGCCAGGTAATCAATGAAACTTAATAAAGGTATCTTAGCAATAACATTGAACATTGAATGGGTACAAGCTAAGTTATGACAAACCACTACGCAAAATGTAAGAATTCAATGCATAAAAATAATTAAAAGATGCCCAAATAAAGGACAAAAAAGTTTCGTCTCTATCCATATATGTGCTAAAAGAGCAACTATCCTCGTGCATTTGAGATGTTATACCTCTTATTTCCAAATATGACAAATTTCTTCATCTCCTTTTTGGTAAGTGCAAGCAAGGAAAAAATAATTCTATTGTTTATAAAATTTGTCTTGAAAGGAACATCAAGAAATCTGGAAGTGTTTGCTTCTCTCAGTTTGAACCTTAAAGCAAGCATGAGCATCATCTTCGGACAGCTGTCAATATCATCATATCAACCTCCATTGCAACGAGGTTATCCCCCAAAGAACAGCCCAGATTTCTCATATGCTCGCTCTTCTCAGTTTTTACAAGTAACTGATGTTGTGTACCTCCAGCTGAATGTGCTCAATTAGAGAAGTGCTGGGCTAGAAAGAAATAAGCATATTAGCCAGGTAATCAATGAAACTTAATAAAGGTATCTTAGCAATAACATTGAACATTGAATGGGTACAAGCTAAGTTATGACTAACCACTAAGCAAAATGTAAGAATTCAATGCATAAAAAAATTAAAAGAAGCCCAAGAAAGGACAAAAAAGTTTTATCTCTATCCATATATGCACTAAAAGAGCAACTATCCTCGTGCATTCGAGATGTTATACCTTATATTACCAAATTCGCAATATTTCCAAATATGACAAATTTCTTCATCTCCTTTTGGTAAATGCAAGCAAGGAAAAAATAATCCTATTGTTTATAAAATTTGTCTTGGAAGGAACATCAAGAAATCTGGAAGTGTTTGCTTCTCTCAGTAAACCTTAACGCAAGCATGAGCACCATCTTTGGACAGCTGTCAATATATCATATCAACCACCATCACAATGATGCTATCCCCCAAAGAACATCTCAAATTTCACATTTCTTGCTCTTCTCAGTTTTTACAAGTAACTGATGTTGTGTGCCTCCAGTTGAATGTGCTCAATTAGAGAAGTGCCGGGCTAGAAAGAAACAAGCATATTAGCCAGGTAATCAATGAAACTTAACAAAGGTACCTTAGCAATAACATTGAACATTGAATAGGTAAAACCTAAAATTATGACTAACCGTCAAGCCAAATATAAGAATTCAATGCATAAAAAAACTAAAAGAAACCCAAGAAAGGACAAAAAAGTTTTATCTGTATCCATATATGCACTAAAAGAGCAACTATCCTCCTGCATTCGAGATGTTATACCTCATATTGCCAAATTCACAGTATTTCCAAATATGGAAAATTTCTTCATCTCCTTTTGGTAAGTGCAAGGAAGGAAAAAGTAATTCTATTGTTTATAAAATTTGTCTTGAAAGGAACACCAAGAAATCTGGAAGTGTTTGCTTCTCTCGGTAAACCTTAAAGCAAGCATGAGCATGTGTACAATTTTCTCTGTTGCATTTTATTAAGGTGTTCATGAATTCCAATGACTAAGGAAATGCCTCTCAAAAGAAATATTATTTGAATGTTGAGACCGAAACTGGATGATGGAAGGCTTTGTTTGGAACTAATTAATATCAGAATTCGTTTCATTTGCAAGTGAATTTTGATGTCTAAGATAAATCATGATAATTTAAAATATACTGTGAAATATAATTGAATGGCTACACTTGAAACACCACAAACAAGAGTGCAAAATACATGTCAAGTGCTTCTTCTCCAAACTTACAAATTCATTCAAAATGGATTCCATAGTTTGGAATAATTCAAAACATAGAAATATTAGTTTCCAAATGAAATTCAAACTTTTTATGGAATTTTCATTCCAAACAAAGTATAACAAAATTTTAACATCAATCTATTCTCCCATTATTGCCCAGCAAACACTTCAAGACAAGCTGCAACTGCATAAATGGTATTCAAGACCTCTCTTCCAAAACTTGCTGCACAACCTTAACACCTACCATTTTAAAATTTTTGAGAAAGTACTCATTATCTCTGACTGTGAGCTGCCTCCGCCAGGAAGTGAAAGCACAAACTTATTAATGGACCACGGATATCTTGCTCATAGTCAATAACTCATGAAGCTTACCCCATTCTTTAAATAGGAAACACATTTGGAAAGGTTATTAACATTATCTCTTCATGACACATACATTTTTACGAGCAAATATATTGTCATTTTGGCCCTACAAGTGTTTTTCAGAAATGAAATAGTAACCTGCATTCGTGCAACATATACAGCATATCTTCACTATTTTTAGGTTTTTCTTCCTTTTCAGAAAAAATATATATATACATATATGTCGTCACTATTAGAACTTTATAACTCATATTCAGATCTAAATTTCTGTTTATTCATTCTAAAATCTCACCATAATGTATATTAACTAGTATAAAAGTTTGATCTTCTTTTTGAATAAGAAAAAGAAAGATTGGACAGGATTACTTAAAATGATAACACTAGATTTCCTTGAGTTGAAAAAGACCCATGAAAGCAAAAAATTTTGCTTTTAAAATACACATTTCAAAAGAAAAGAACAAAGATTTTTCTTTTTTCATAGAAAGAACAAAGAAGTTATTCCAACTATTTGGATTCCACAGCATATTTTAGATCCTAATAGCTAGCTTGGTCAATCACACACCATTTTCCATTAGCTGGTGATGGCTCTCATGGATAGGTTAGGTCAGGAACAAGAAACACATAAAAGGTGGTTATAGGTCAAACCTACTTAACATCAAAGTATCGCAATTCCTTCCACCACTAATAACGCGTCAAGAAGTCAATCATTTTGATCTCACAAGTAAATTAAAAATATAACATGATTTCCAGTGTGTCCAAAACATGCATCCTGCTCTGATATTTCAGGTGTTCTACATATTTTTATTTGAAGAGAAAAATTTGACAGTTGGTACGTATGCTTATTTTATTGATAAAGCAAAGGCAGAGACAAGCAAAAAAAAAAATATTTAGCTCATCAAAGAGTGAGACATTCATTAGATTAATCAAGTTGCAAGTAACTAACCATTTTAACCAAATAAATTCATTTAAGAAAGAATGGTATCATATATAAATCAATCCCAAGACTACATCGGACAATCTGGGATCGAAAACACGTCTGTTACTTTCGGACTGTTTAAGGAACACTAACGTATCCTATGGCGATAGCATATATAAAAAGAGTAATGGACGACACGTGTCCGCTAACTTCTGCCTGATTAACGAACAATTAGCATATTCCCATGCAATAGCACGTGAGAAATAATCCTCAAGATATAGCACCTAGGGAAAGATTCTCATCCAATGGCAGCTAATGAAAGACACAAACAATAGCCTATAGTGAAAGAAGATCATGCAAAAGCAAACAAAACAAAGAAACTCTTGAAAAGAAATTTAACTTTACCAGTTTAAAACAAGAGAAACTCATACAGAGAGCTGAAAACTAGAAGGACAAACCATATCTACATCAGTCACAATATCATATCTAACAATCTGGCGCATAACACGTATTATATTAATTTCAGGCTGTTGAAGGAACGACAAACATATTATTGTTGCAATAGTATATAATAAAAAAGTAATTGATGACAAGTCAACGCTAACTTCTGCCTGTTTAATGAACAACTAACATACTCCCATGCAATAGCACATGACGAGTAATTCTCAAGCAATAGCATGTGATGAAAGACTCTCATGCAATGGCAACTACTGAATGAAACTTATCAAGTAGCATGTTTCAAAAGACAGACATGCAAAAGCAAACAAAAAAGCTCCCAAAAGAAATTTCAGTTTAAAGGGTTTAAAACTAGATAGACTAAAATTATAACAATTGCTAGTCATCCAACTGATAACTCACATGTACATCTGCAACTCGACATAACAAGGTTCATAAACAAACTCCCAGTTACTGCTCTAAATTCCTCAGGAGACATACAACCAGATACATTTGCAACCCTTTCATCTTTACAGTCTTAAAAGTTTTTATATACCTTCAACTGTGAAAAAAAAAAACCTGCAGCACTCAGGAACTTTCCACTCGACTCCAGCATAAAAAGTTCTCGAAAATTTCATCTAACCCTGCACAGTTAAATAGAAATAAATAGATTTGCTGTTAGACTCTTTTTACTCCTAGACGCCCAAGGAAGAAACTTTCACAAAAAGGGACAGTAGAAATCAAGTAAACAACAATATAAAGCTTATTGAAAAGTAAAAAAGACGAGAAGGAAACTAATCTACTCCTCTAGTCTATTGAGGTACTAGATGGTTAAGTAGCAGATCAAAGAACCAAAATATTAGACCCTTCTAAAATTATCAGAAACCTTGTAGGAGTCAGGAGAGATCGAGGACAACCATAAACCAGGAAACACATTCTGCAAAATCATCAGGGACATAAGATTAGCAGATTTCAAAGCCTTAATATTAAAACAAATGCATAATAATGTAAATTTAGATTATAAAAGAAAACCAGTACATCGAGCTGCTTCTGCATTGCCTTGCTTCTCTTCTTGGGCCGCCTGCTGGGTTTAGACCCGGTCATCAGGAATATATCCTCATCAATCTCTTCCTTGGAAAGCGAGATGGAGAACCCCTGCTCCTTCTCCTTCGCCTCAGCTGCCATTTTTGCGTCCGCACCGCTCCTAGACCGGACAAATTCAGGTCGGCTCGATCCCCGAGCTTTTCTGTCCTGCGCCTCGTCCCTAACGCCCATGGGTGCGCGGCCACCATTTCCAGTCAGACCCTTCGGTACGCTGCCACTATTTCCATTCACACCCTTGGGGGCAGGCTTCCTCGGCCTCAAGTTCCAGGTCTTGACGAAGCCCTC